CTCGACAAAATCCTGCATTTCTTTAGACCGCCCTCTTGTAGTCTCCTTCTCCTCTCCTGGTCCTCTTTTCTCAACCCTTTGACGCAATTCTCCGGAACCCTGCAAGCCCGAATCCAGCGACTGAATCATATTTTGCGAGAGTCTTCGAACGACAATTTTCCTCCCCAAAATGTCTTCATCCAAAATGTTTTCCTCTTCTTTCAATTTGAAATGCTTTTGGTTTTTTGATTCGCGAGGGCTTGTTCCGTTGGAATCCGTGTGTCTAATGTAGTCTGTGGATTCTGATTCTCCAATATTCCCTGGTTGTAATGTCGTCACTTCCATCTCCCCTACCGCCGTGTGGAATATATTTCGTTGGTTTGGGATCGAAGCATTTGTCAGCGGCGAAGAACCTGAATTGTGATAAACAAAAGGAAAAGATGACTTGGAAAATCAACGAACGGAAAAAAGAAACGTTTCGTCAAAATTTTAAATATTACATGAAAAAGATTCCAGAAATTTTATTAAAAAAACAGAACAAGTAAAAACGTGACGAAACAGGTTTTCTTCTGTATTTACTTTTTTGTCTTTTTTTTCTAATAATTTCACCCCAAACAAGGCGATAATACCACTAAGACGCCAGAGGTTATTCAGAGTGAAAGAGAATTTGAAGATTTTAGTAAGAAATAAGAATAAAAAAACTGAGTTCAGGAACAAAGATGGCGATTAGTGTTGCATTTTAGTTTCTTTTCTCACACTTCAGCTACTTGCTACTCTGTCAACTATAATCCTCGAAAATTTAAACATCTTCAACAACCCTGTTCTTTTATTGTCCTTTCTCCTCACTAAAATCTTCTCATTCTCTTTCACCCCTAGTAATTCCTTGCTTCTCGGTAGCATTATCACCTTGCTTGGGGTAAAATGATTAAAAATCAAATTCATTCTGGAAGATCGTAGGTGGCAGGGAAGAAAGAATCCAAAAGATTTCCACTTGCGAGAAATGCGGGAAAAGAATTATAATAGAACTGCTGGTCATGTCTAGCTATTTCAGCAGTTAAATGATGAAACCGAATAGCTAATCTAATTCATGCAGTTGACCCACTAAGGAGAAAAGGTCATTAAAACAATTGCTATGAAAATATTTAGAGAAAATTCAGTCGGAAGCCATGTTACGATGGTAAGAAAGTGACAGAATTCGAAATGCCAAGTCAAAAACTATTCCAGACCGTTCTTTGGATTTCATCGAGAATCTCTAGATATATTCCAGGTGATCCAGACCAAATATTCAATGCGCAGGGCGATGGTAGATTTATAAACGTTCAAGATGGAGAAAAGATATCTCTTGAACTAATCATTCTATCAGAAGATAGGAATTGATTCAATATAACCCCTCTACTTTATGTTAGTGGAAAACATGGAATCAAGAAGAAGCAATGAGTTGCTCTTGGAGTTTTCAAAAAACAGTGATGGAAACGTTTGCATATACATAATAATATAGCTTAAAACTAAATCAATTTATTAATGATAAAAATTCATTGGAAAAATATCTCGAACCGTTTAACAGAATTATAAACAAGTTGCTTTTTTTCATTTTTAGATGAAGTCTTTCACAGAATTGATTCCATTCAATTATTTTTCTATCATCTTTTTTGTGTCATATCTCTTTATAAGTTCTTATCCCTTGTTGTCCACAGTAATGTCCTTTTTTTACAATACAGTAGAATCCCTGATACCTGGACTAAGAAGGCCTTCCGGGTATGAGGAATTGGTTACAAAGTCTTGATATGAAGGGTTATATTTAGATTAAAATAAAAGAACTGAAATCAGGTTTAACATTTATTTTTAATGTTTTATAGTAAACAAAATAAGCTAATGGTGAGTGAAATATAACAGAACTGATTTTAACGAAAAACAAATAAATTATTTAATGTTAATGAAAAGTCATTAAATTAAATATGCCACGTATGCAAAACAAATAATGTAACGAGGATTTTTCTAATCGCTGTTGCATGATGTTTCTTTCTCTTGTAATATCATTCGCAACTTTTTCCGCATTTTGGTTTGGTATTGTTCTTGAATTTTTTTAAACGAAAAACACTTTTTAACTCTGCGTGCGTCATTGCAATCGTCATAGCTGAATGCTGGCTTTCTTTCCATAAAACTGACAAGTTTTTTCAATAGCATTTTCAATTTCAGTCCAGGTTTCATCACAATCATGCATCTCGTTGCTATCTTGTTGCAGATGTGTCTCGTTGTCGCCCTTTCCTCTTATTCCAATCATCTTTTGCACCAGAACAAGCCATTAGGGTGAAATAAGCATAAGCAATTATCCAAAGTAAATTTCCTGAAAAACAGAAATTTCAAATCAGTTACATATCACCGAAATAGTTCAAATATATATATCAAAATCATGTCCGGATATGCAGGATTCCCGATATGAGGGATTCCGGATATGCGGGATTTCGGATATGAGGGATTTTAGTGTACTTTTCCCTCCCTGTTCTCTCATCCATTTACTCAAGTTAGTTGAGTATGTCACTCGCTGTTTCTCTCTTTTCCTCTTGTATATCAAATTCACTAAGTGTTCTTTCTTCCCTATGTGTTCGATAAATCTCAACTGTTTCTTTCTGATATAAACAATGTCTTCTTTTTCTCCATTTTCCTTAAAATTCCATCGTTGCTTACATGCTCCGCCCATAGTATTCTCAGCATCTTTCTGTAGAACATCGCTGCTATTTCAAGTCTCCTCTTCATCTGCGAGGAAATTGTCTAGCATTTATTGCCTTATGGCATGGGAGTCCTACATTCCCCAAGACTTCTTTCCACAGTGTGTGCTCTCGAAATTTCAACTGCCTCTTTCTTCTTTTTCACTTTTTCTTAAAACTTCCTCGTTGCTTACATACTCTGTCCCTGGCATTCTCAGCACCTTTTATGAAAACGGAAATGAAGAAATAGCTTCTGACAATCCTCTAATCAAGGAGTCTACTTTTCATGGACGCTACTTTAACCATTTCGGTTACGGAAGCTGCCCAGACTAGAGTTATTGTTATCCCGCTACTGTTTTGTCTGAGGATTAACTAAGATTAGTATCAGCGAAACAGATTATATACCCATACAAGAAATAATGTTCGCGGCCTCAATTTTCTAAAGTTCAACGTCCTTTCTCACCAGACATACTCTAGAACCATACCAGATGACACAGATGAAAAATAACGAACCAATCAAATCACTGTATTTTGGTGTTGAAAAGACCTGAGCCCAAAGCTTCTTTAAAAAAATATAAATTCTGTCGGAACTTTCTTTCGGAAAGATTTTACAGTATTGAGGAATTGAGGTGACCCATCAACTCATTGACAAAGAGTTTGAGATCATCAATGTAGAGTAGGTGATTGTTTAGTTCATGTTTAAGGGGGATTAAAGACAGACAAAACAGAAAGGGTGACAGGGAGTCTCCTTGAAAGATTCCTCGTCGGATACTCAAGCGGTCGGAGATGGCAGTGCCTCTGGTGTGATTTAGATATAATGTGGTCTGTCTATATTTCTGAGATGAGATATTATGTACACTATTTACATTATTCAGACTATTGTCCTCATCTTTGTCGCCATATTTATTACAACGTTTCGGCCGTTGTACGCTCCGGCCTTCTTCAGGTGATTGGAATGTTGAACTGAACCCTTTGTTTCGCTCACTGGGGTAGACTGTTCTAGTTCCACATGGAACAGTGGATAAAGGCGTTAGTTAGATCCAGTGACAGAACCCAAAGAGTGTGAGTTCAATACCCGTTTAAGGCGGTGGGGAACTTGGAGAGGGGAATTAACAAGAGATAATTGACAACTGACATCCATTAAACACGTGGAAATAGAACAGTCTACCCCAGTGAACTAAATAAAGGGTTCAGTTCGACATTCCAACCACCTGAAGAAGGCCGGAGCGTACAACGGCCGAAACGTTGTAATAAATATGGCGACAAAGATGAGGACAATAGTCCGAATAATGTAAATAGTGTATATAATTTGGTATTCCACATTCCCATATTGTGTTTAAGGAAATTTATTATTACGGGGGAGATTTTGTACATTTCCAAAGTCTTAAGTGGGGCATATTATCAAAGGCTTTACGTTAATTAATGCACTAAGATTTCTACATCGTCTACATCAATTTTCCAGGATCATTTTGTTTATCAGTAGTTGATCTTTGCAGCCATATGAACCTCTCCTGCATCCCTTCTGTTCCAGGGGAAGAATGTTGTTTGCTTCGAAAACAGAAATCAATTTATATGTGGACAGACATGTTATTGGCCTATAATTTGTCGTGTCATATGTTTCACTCGTTTTCGGCATGAGATATGTAATACCTTCACTGATCCATTCCTGGATTTCATTGGGATTATTTATAAGCATTGATAGAGTTTGTGTAAGGGTTTTATGGATTGATAACAGATGACAGAGCCAAAACTTGGGCACTTTGTCATTTCCTGGGGATTTCGTTAGAGCTTGCTTACCATTAGTCGTGGCTATAATATAATGCAGATGTGGAGCTTCCATCGATGAGTTTGGTTTACATCCTCTCTCCTGTCGTCGTAGTTCCGGCCGCTTTCCACAGCATGCAGCAATAAACGACATCATCAGAAGAGGTTTGAATGTAGCCGGGTTCCCTTCCCAAATCGAACCCGTAGGCCTCGACCGTGGTGATGGAAAGCGGCCGGATGGCATTACCATTTTCCCTTTTAAAATGGGGAAGTCGTTGATTTGGGATGCGACATGTGCGGATACATTTTCGGCCGATAATTTGATCAGGTCCGCGGTTGAGACGGGATCCGTCGCCCCGGACGCAGAGATAAAAAAAAATAGTTAAATATTCTTCTCTTGCTGATAGATTTTCTTTTTTTTTAATCCTGTGGCAATGGAGACTTCTGGGGATATTGGCCCTCGTTCGATGGCGTTCCTTCGGAGGATTGGCGCGATTGTGTCTCGATTAAGGGACGAGCCTCGTGAAACGGAGTGGCTCTTGCAGCGTGTTT